TCAGCCTACCAGTGACCCCGAGCCAGAACCTGGACCCCTCAGAGAGGCACAGGGAGCAATGGCCTATGGAAACCCCCATGTGTTTGGGAGCATTCCATGTCTGCCATTGACTGGGGTTAGGCACCCAGAAAGGTATGCATAACAAAACAGACCACACTTGGTAATAAATTGCAACCGAAAACTGAACAGAGGCAGAACTCCCACAAACCTAAAGAAACAAGCAAATGTCGTACACTGCCGCCGCACCGCTTGTCTGCACAGCACTCCCCTCCCCAGGAGGAGTGCCACTGCCACTCAGCATGCCAACTTAGTGGTTCGTTATGGTGAACATGAATGTAGATACTTATATATAACGTCTGTATATTGTGAATAAAAGCAAAAACAGTATGGTTGGAGGAGAATGTGGGCGAGTGAGAGTTGAGGGAGTGAGTGGCAGTGAGTGGCTGACTGGTGTGTGGCGGTCACTCTTTGTTGCTTTTTGACTCATAATAGCAACTTAGTGGTTCGTTATAGTGAAAAAAACATGCAGATACTTATATATAACCTGTGTATATAGTGTAATAACCGACAAAGTATTTGTTCACTGCTTGATGTACATAATAATTGAATCAACAATATGCACACCATTTTTTTTAGTACAGTGATGATTCACTCATTTTATTATATAAATATATCACAGTACACACTATTGAATAATATTACAGCAAAAAATCTATGAAAAATCAATCAGAGACATTAAAATAATTAGGTAATTATCTCTTTGTGGCCACTCCTGCCTGACAGCTGGCGAGCAACAGACCTGCCTGGGACCGCTGGCGAGCAACAGACCGCAGCAGGCGCTGACTCAGCGTGCGCCTGGGCTGCACACTGAGTCAGCGCCTGTTTTTTTGCCAGACTTCCCCACCCTATAGCGGGCAATATATGCCACTTACGATTTTTTTTATTATTTTTCCCATGATCAGAGAACACAAATTAACAGGTTTAGAAGAAGAAATAATTTTCTGGGGGGAGCCCCTACGGCTCCCGGAGCTATCCATGGCTGATATGGATACCCTAACTATTTTGCATCAGTCGATGTGGGTGGAGTTCTAGGCCTACCGGGGACCATGAGCCAGAACCTGGCCCCCTCACAGAGGCATGGGGAGCAATGGCCCATAGAAATGCACATGTGATCTGGAGCATTCTATATCTGCCATCAACCGGAACAGGCACCCTGAAAGGTAAGCGCCACAAAAAACCCTATTCTGGTTAACAACGAAAATTGACAAACGAGTGGACAGAACTCCCCAAGAAAAACAAACAAGCATGATGTCACACATGTTTGTTTCCAACGTTGATGATGTTTCCAACAAACTGGAAAAGGTGCAAAGACATGCTACTAAGTGGCTCCCAGAACTGAAGGGCAAGAGCTACGAGGGGAGGTTAGAGGCATTAAATATGCCAAAACTAGAAGACAGAAGAAAAAGAGGTGATATGATCACTACGTACAAAATAGTAACAGGAATTGATAAAATCGATAGGGAAGATTTCCTGAGACATGGAACTTTAAGAACAAGAGGTCATAGATTTAAACTAGCTAGACACAGATGCCGAAGAAATATAAGAAAATTCACTTTCACAAACAGAGTGGTAGACAGTTGGAACAAGTTAAGTGAGAAGGTGGTGGAGGCCAAGACCGTCAGTAGTTTCAAAGCGTTATATGACAATGAGTGCTGGGAAGACGGGACACCACGAGCATAGCTCTCATCCTGTAACTACACTTAGGTAATTACACAAGCCGCATTGCATGTCTGCGCAGTTCCCCCCTCCCCAGGAGGGGGATGGGGAAGCCCCAGACCCCCGCGCCGGTGATCCCCGCCCCAGTTCCTCGGCTGATGGGATAGTGCATGGTCGTGTGGCTCCAGCTCCGGTTTTGTCTCAGTGCTGTGACTTGTTTTCAGTGCTGCTCTTACGGTGGTCGTGTGAGCTGGGAGTAGTTTCTCAGGTACTCGGGCTGTGCTTAGGGTCACCTTTCCTGAGTGCCCTGTAAGTACCGCCCTTGGAGCTTGGGGTTGCCTTCCACAAGTCACCTTGGGTCTACCTCTGTTGGCTTTTCGCTGCTTGGCGTTTGGCCACCCCGAGTGTTTGGGGTTTTTTCTCCCTTGTTTACCCTGGGGTAAGTGGTAGTTATAGCACTGGTGGGGCGCAGGGTACTGCATAGCTAGTTTTCACCTGTAACAGCAGCCAGCTCTGTTCCCTCTTGAGTACGTTGTCTTCTTGTGTGTTTTTTTTTCTTTTTCTTTTTGCCTGGTGGGGGGGGTCTGCCATGTGTTCTCCCACCCTCCTTATATTAAGGTCGTTTTGTGTGGTGGCACCCTCTGCTTCACCCTCGTGAGTGGACACGTCACATGGGTTCAGCTTTTAGCAGTTTGTTTGGTAGTTTGGGGCGCCGATTAGCAGTGCCCTGCCTGGGATAACCCTTAGCAGACCCAGTCTAGGGGCCCTGGGAAACCCCCCGGGAGCTTTCGGGTTCGATAGTGGAGATCCTTGCGTCCCCTCTCGCTTTGTGCGAGTTGAGGGTTGCTCTGTCCCTTTGTCTCAGGGTGACTCTCCTTGTTTTTGCCTCCGTCATGCTGCCTGTTAGGTCGGTGACACATTTGACCCCGAGTCCTGCGAGCTTTGTTGCTTGTTCGTGACTCAATTCACCCAGTCTGCTGATGAATTCCCTTGGGTGCAGGCAGCTCGCACATTGCAGGTTAGGTTGTTGCAACGCGCTCGGGTTGTCGCTTCCCCGGACGCCTCGAGGCTGCCCCGTTTTGTGTAGGGACCCAGACTTGGGGGTTTTGGTCGCTTAGGCCTTGGTTCCGTCCACGCCCCCTTGTTTTTCCCTTTCGGTGGTTCATTTTGTTCCCCTCCTCCTGCTTCCGGCCCCAAAGCATCTGAAGGCTTCGGGGTTGGGGCAGGGTTAGAGGTTTCTGAGACTTGAGCAGTTTCGGGGGTTGCCCTGTCCGGGGTAGCTGCGGAGGCATTCGAGTCTGTTCCTCCAGCCGAAGCTCCGGGGTCTGACCAGTGGGCCCCTTCTCTTCCAGCTCTCTCGGCTGCCCCGGCTTTTTCTTGTAAGACTGGGGCTTTAGAGGTCGACTCAGCCCCGGGGCCTGGTGTAGAGGTGATATGAAGTATCATAGACCCCACTCAACCAATTAAGTAAGTGAGAAATTTTTAAAGAATTCTGATAGAGAGATCTATGGGTGCTTCTAGACAGAAAACTATCATCTGAGGACCATATTAAGAACATTGTGCAAGGAGCCTATGCTACACTTTCTAACTTCAAAATTGCTTTTAAATACATGATGGAGAAATACTAAAGAAATTGTTCGTGACTTTTGTTAGATCATAACTAGAATATGCTGTGGTTGTATGGTGCCCATCACATCAACATCAACAAACTGGAAATGTGCAAACTGTTGATGTGCTTCACATCAACAAGCACATCAACAAACTGGAAAATGTGCAAAAAACATGCCACTAAGTAGCTCCCAGAACTGAAGGGCACGAGCTACGAGGAGAGGTTAGAGGCATTAACCCTTGTGTGGCTCCGGGCTATTTAGCATTTGTCACCCACAGGCGCATACCAAAAACAGCATTGAATGTAATGAAACGCCATTTTCTGAGCGAGTCCCGGAGGCTCCCCAAAGCTATCCATGGCTGATATGGATACCCTAACTATTTTGCATCAGTCGATGTGGGTGGAGTTCTAGGCCTACTGGGGACCACGAGCCAGAACCTGGCCCCCTCACAGAGGCACGGGGAGCAATGGCCCATAGAAATGCACATGTGATTTGAAGCATTCTATCTGATTTTGGAGCATTCGACCAGGACAGCCTGCCAGGACAGGAGGTGATATGATCACTATGTACAAAATAGTAACAGGAATTGATAAAATTGGTAGGGAAGATTTCCTGAGACATGGAACTTCAAGAACAAGAGGTCATAGGTTTAAACTAGCTAAACAAAGATGTTGAAGAAATATAAGAAAATTCACTTTCGCAAACAGAGTGGTAGACGGTTGGAACAAGTTAGGTTAGAAGGTGGTGGAGGCCAAGACCGTCAGTAGTTTTAAAGCATTATATGACAGAGTGCTGGGAAGACGGGACACCACGAGCGTAGCTCTCACCCTGTAACTACACTTAGGTAATTACTTGTATATTATTCAATAAGGACAGACTACTTGAAATGGCAGACACATACGGAATCAGACACAGGTGGAAACAAAGTACAGTACTAGTGAATCACAGGAATGTTAGAAACAACTTTGTTAGTAACAGTGTAGTGAAGAGTGGGAGTTAAGAAGTGAGAGAAGTGGTGCAGACAAGAATCCACAGATACAAGGTACAATGTACACAACACAGTTCACCAACAGATTTTAAAACCAATCTAACCATACCCAGCCCAACCCAACCAACCCTAACCTAAGCTAATACATCCTAACCTAACAATATATACAGCTTTGATAATCAGAAAACAAGCTTTGTTGAAATTTCTTGTGCACAATTTGACCATACCCTGCCTCCATACATAAATCAAAATGTAGATATGACAGAACCCAAATAGTACAACAATTTGTGCCCCAGTCAGTTGAAGGTTGAGTGATGGCACCCAAGAGCTGAAGCTCAGTCCCTGCAAGCACAGGTAGGTGAGTGCATACATCAGTCAACATCACTCATTAACCATATGCAAATAAAATGGGACTGAAGGAAAAAAATACAGTATATGACTAACAAAATTTTAGAAACAAGATATACGGTATTATTAGAATTTGTGTACAATTAACTTCTGAAATTTGTATAGAGATTTTTGTATCTGCTTTTGTTAATACTCTACATTTACTTAAACTTTAATGTGTGCACTTAAGGCAACATTAAATGAAACTATCATTTGAGCAGGGTATACATTTGTTACAAACAATTCATAATAAAAGTATTTGCATTCTTAATATTATATTCCTTATACTTTCTTCACAGACTCACCTGTAGTATTCAGAAGAACCAGCATTGAGGTTGTCTATGAAGTGTTTTTTTGGAGGACCAGCCACCTTGGCCAAGATGACAACATTTCTGCAGTGAGAAGCTGCCTGTGTTGCCATAGAATACTGTACATTCATTCCAAGAGCAGTCTTCCTTGCCAGTAATGTCATAAATTATCAGCTTTTTTAATACTGTACAATATTTCCAGATGTCAAATTTTTGCTGTAGTATCAGATTTAAATATACCGGGTATTTATATACATATTTTGATTTTTACTTAATTAATAATAATGTTTCTCTTCATCTCAATTTTATAAATGTAATATTATTTTTTTTACTTCACACACACACAGTTATAAGAGATTTCACTTTGGCCTTTAAGGTTTTACGTTCAGTTCAGGATGTTAATGATTTATTTTGTCACGGACATGAAACCTGTGTATACATATACTCTAGGCTTGTATCAATATCCTCCACAAGATCGAACTACTGACCCTTCTCAGGGTGCAATCCCATAACAGTTGCCTATCTCCCGGGTACCTATTTACTGGTAGGTGAACAGAGGCATTAGGTAAAACATAACATGCCTAATTATTTCTTTCCCGGCTTGAGATTGAACCTAGGATCTTCAACTGTTAGTCGAGAATATGGCCACTGTGCTATCAAGTCCCTAGGTGTAAAGTGGGGCTGTTAAAATTTATTAATTGCAATCTCATATAATACTCATTTCTAGGAAAGACCTCTAAATGTCTCCCTAAGCTTATCACTGATATCACTAAGCCTTTGCCCAACACTCTAGGCTTGTCAGATTGCATTTTGTTGACTACTGAGAGCCAGGTCCAGACTGCTTTCACTAGAACATAAGAACAAAGTTTACTGCAGAAGACCTATTGGCCCATACGAGGCAGCTCCTATTTATAACCACCCAATCCCACTCATATACATGTCCTACCTACGCTTGAAACAATTGAGGGGCCCCACCTCCACCACGTTACACAGTAATTGGTTCCACAAATCAACACCCCTGTTACCAAACCAGTATTTACCCAAGTCTTTTCTAAATCTAAACTTATTAAATTTATACCCATTGTTTTGTGTTCTGTCTTCTGTTGACACTTTTTAACCCTATTAATATCCCCTTTGTTATGCCCATTCATCCACTTGTAAACCTCTATCATGTCACGCCTAACTCTTCACCTTTCCAGTGAATGCAATTTAAGCAATTTAAGCTCTCTTCATATGACAGGTTTCTAATTTGGGGAATTAACTTTGTCATCCTATGCTGAACACGTTCAAGTGAATTTATATCCATTCTATAGTACGGTGACCAAAACTGAACTGCATAATCTAAATGGGGCCTAACCAGAGTAGTTGATAGTGGTAAGGATTGCGATGTTGTGTACCTTGACTTTAGCAAAGCTTTTGATACAGTACCACATGAAAGACTGATTAAAAAGATAGAGGCTCATGGTATTGGGGGTGCTATATTAAATTAATTTAACACTTTCGTGCTCCTGGTAGTCAGGCATAAAACAATGCCCATGTGCTCCTGGCGTTTCGGGCGAGCGAGCGGCAACACTGAAAAGTGTATACTCTTTTCACGGTTCTGACCTTAATTTTTGATGTACGTGTTTCATTTAGGTATCAATGTGTTTGCAATAGAATGTTCTAGAAGAACATAAGTATAAAATGTCACCAAATTAGGTTTGAGACCAGCATCCAATATAAAACTATGTCGAGCGCTAGCCGTGAGCGCCAAACAGCGATGAAATGTTTCTTCTCTTTTTCAGGTTTGTCAAGTTCTGACTTGTTGTACATTGTTCATTTTGGTATCATCGTGATCGCAATAAAAATCCCTACATGGACATATGCATATAAAAAGCAAATTATGGGCGCGCTCCACCCACAAGTAGGTGGGAAGTCGCCGAACTGTTACCTGTTACCACACGCCCAATGGCACATCGGCTAGGCCCCTACTGAAAAGTGTATACTCTTCAGTGTTCTGACCTTAATTTTGGATGTACGTATTTCATTTTGGAATCAATGTGTTTGCAATAGAATGTTCTAGAGGAACATATGTATAAAATGTCACCCAAGCATGCATTAGACCAGCACCAAATAAAAAACTACGTCGATCGCTAGCCGTGAGCGCCAAACAGAGATGAAATGTTTCTATTTTTTTCAAGTTTGTCAAGTTCAGACTTGTCAACCAGAGTGCCATGTGGCCTATTAGGGAGAACGGGAATTGCATGGCGCACATTTTGAAACTATCCCCAAGTCGATCGGATAAAAAATGAATTTTAAAGAAATATTTTATTGTTCGACTCGTGAGCGAGTCCAATGCTCAGACTCGAGAGAAAAATTGGTAACACGCTCAAACGCCACGAGAGTGCGAAAGTGTCAAGTCTAGCCAACCAGTGGTCTATCCTCGTGCCCATGATGTTAGGAAGTTTGCTACATTGGGTGCTGTGTCTGGCAACATGTTTTGGGCCGATATTCAGGCGCAGGGATTTTGGAGATTGAACAGGGTACTGCCCACCCATTATTGGGTTAACGTTCCTGCTCCTGGACGTTCTTGTGTTGCTTTGGGTCGCAGGTTGCAGCCAGCTATCTCGACTTCACATTGAGGAGTATGTGGAAGCCACTTCCCGGGTAAGTCCCTCTTTTCCTTATCTTTGGGTATGTAGTTCCTGGGAGCTGTAGGGGCTTCCCACAGAAAACCAGCATTGAATGGAATGAAATGCTATTTTCTGGGTGAGCCCCGGAGGCTCCCTGGCAACCCTCCCTCCCTTTGGTCTGTGTTTTTTTGCATTGTTTGATGCTTAGCTTCCGAACTGGAGTGCTAGGTAGCTGGCGAGGGGAGGTCTGGGGCTGTCCCTCCCCTCTCGGGGTGGGAAGGGTTGAGCAGGCAAGAGGCACAGCGGTGGAGTTTGATGTTTGCTTGTTTCCTTGGGATTGGATGGAGTTTTGCCTCTCTTTTCAGTTTTCAGCTGTAGTTTTCTTACCATGTGGGGTTTGGTTTGTTATGTCTACCTTTTTGGGTGCCTAACCCCGATTGATGGCAGATAAGAAAAAATCCCAACCAGAGGAGGGGTTTTCCAGGGCCATTGCTCCCAGGGCAGATTCTGGCTCCTGGTCCCCAGTAGGCTGAATTCCATAGACAAATGTGCCAGCCTAATATATCACACATTAGCCCAATAGCTCCAGAGAGCCTCCTTCCCCGGAGGTTCCCTGGAGCTATCGGGCTAATGTGTGATATATGAAAATGGCATTTCACCCAAAAAATGGCATTTCATTACATTCAAAGCTGGTTTTTTGTTGCACTTTTGCTTTCTGCTTTTTTCCAAGGTTTGTGATTCATCACTGAATGCCTGCTTTCCTTGTCTCATAGAGTGAGCCTGGGCTCCTAGTAGATGACATATGAGTCTCAGAGGTCTGTTGTGTTGGGCTTAAGCTTGCTGGTACCCAAGATAAGCTCAGGAAGTCAGTGACAGTCCACCAGAAATAGGTGTTGCATTACATCTAACATACGATTAATGTCCGTTAACATCATTTATAATACTGTACTGCAGAAATGTGCAGACTGATGAAATATCAAGGTTCTAATACTTTGTGATAATCCAACCTTATGAAGATATGACAAATATTGATAGGAAAAAATGGACTAGAAAAAATTTGACAGTTTCGTGCAAAAGGTCCCAGACCAAATGGGTTGTAGTGGATATGTGGGCCTGCTCCAAGCAACAATCTGTTGGACCATATAAATTGCCATCCACACTTTTGAGGAAATAAACATTCCATTCACCTGGACTGTATGGGTCTTGAACCGTGAATCCCAAGTGTGTGAGGCTATAGCTCTTTTGACTGGGCTATGAGCAGTCTTAAAAAGGAAAGTTTCCAGAAGCAGCATAATGCTGCCAAACTGGAATTTTCAACTTTCCCTGACTACTACTGAAGCCCAGAGGGATTACTGACCTATGCCCACATCATATAAATAACCATCCTATTCCTCTGGATTCAGTAGTAGATTCCTCTGGGAATCCTCTGAGTTCCTCTGGGCTTCAGTAGTAGTCAGATAGTTTCAGTAGTTGAAAATTCCAGTTTGGCAACAGGATGCTGCTTCTGGAAACTTTCCTTTTTAACACTGCTCATAGCCCGGTTGATAGAGCTAAGGCCTCACACGCGTGGGGTCCACAGTTCGAGACCCATACAGTCCAGGTGAATGGAATGTTGGACCATGTTCTCACAAGCCTAGCCTGGCCCCAGGCCAGACTTTAGGAGTAGAAGAACTTCCAGAACCTCCTCCAGGTACAAGACTTTTACATCTATTTTTTGCTTAATACCTGCTGGATAGATCATTACAGGAACAGTATTAGTGATGTAATTTCAGTATTATGCTCAGTATGGCCAATTTTATGACCATTTGATCTTGGCTAAAAAATAACTCATGTTTTGTTGCTGTGTCTGAGAGCAGCAGCAACAAAACACAAAACACTATAATATTTTCCCTATATAATTTAATGCTTTAATACCTTATAGTTTTGAGACACATCTTGTTTTTGTCTGTCTCTATTCAACATATACTGCATTGTATGTATGCATGTATATCTATATATATATATATGTCATACCTAATAGCTACAAATAAATACAAAAATGTTCAATAGTATACTTTGATACAAGTAAATATATACACACACACAGACGTAATTAACTAATATGAGCCTAACGTACGTATTGTATATACATTAGGCTCGTATTGAGATTTCCCATGGTAGAACTACTGACCCCCCAAGGATGCAACTCCACAACAGTTGACTTACACCTGGGTACCTATTTACTTTTAGGTAAACAAAGACATTAGGTGACAGGAAACGTGCCCAACCATTTCTGTCCCACCCGAGATTCAAACCCAGGATTACTGAGAGTCAAGAATGAACCCGACTGTACTACCAAGACCCAACAACCTTTAGGGGTAGTTCACTTCGTGCCAGTTATTTACACATTGTAATTTGTTTCTAAAATTATGTAAGAACGTGTTAATAATATAAAATATATACTGTATATTTTATAATACAAGAGTAATAAACAAGTATTCTGTATGCACCTGGACAAGCGCTTTGTCATCTGCAAGATTTATTATCATAATCTTCAAACAAATTTAACAAATTTATTAAAGAATAACCCTCTTGTACTGGTATACATACAAACTATGTTCAGAATGTGTATGTATTCCATGTCAGTGCAGATACAACACTTCACTACACTTGGCCAGACCACACATTGTGTTATGCTCACAGCCAGTACGTAAACACCCTGCAAAATCACACAAACTACACACACACTTCACTCTGCAACATATTGCAATGTGCTTCACTCACATGACACTACACAGCCAGCCTGTAACTACACTTACATAAACATACAGTACAGTACTTTGAAAGTTCATGTTTGCAGAATGGTAGACACTTGAAATAAGTTAAGTGGGAATGTGGTGGATGCCAAAACTGTCAGTAGTGCCAAAGCGTCATATGACAAAGAGTGCTGGGAAGACGGGACATCACGAGTGTAGCTCTCATCATGTAATGACACTTAGGTAATTACCTCAACTCCACCCCACCCCCCATTCCCACATGCACATGCACTTACAGCCAAGTGGACAGTGCTCAAAAGTCATAGTACAAAGGCCAAGTTCAATTCCTGGCCTAAGCAGAAACAAATGGGCAGTGTTTCTTTCACCTGATTCCTCTGTTCATCTAGCAGCATAGGTACCTGGGAGTTAGATAGCTGTTATGGGCTCCATCCTGGAGATGTCTGTGTGTGAGAGAGAGAGAAATATATGTGTATTATAAATGATAGAGAAAAATTAGGTAGAGAATCAGTACATTAGATAACCATTGGTTAGAAAGTGGGGTCCAAGAGCTAACAACACAGTCCTGCAGGCAGAAATTGTAAATA